CTTCATTTGCTTTCCAGTCTCGGACCATCTTTTCTGTTACTCCATATTGTCTTGCCGCAGCACAGTTACTGTGTTCCTTGGCAAAGTTTACAACTTTCAGTTTGAAACTGGCTTCAAATTTCCTCCTTCTTGCTGGAGCTATGATGGGTTCTTTTCTACCAGCCATTTGTTGTACACCCACTAATCTTTTAGGCAGGAGTTATACAGTACTGTAGTTTCAGCTACACAGAGAATGTTTTATTACTGTACCTTTTAACTCATTGTATGTGTCCTGATACAGCAGCTTTGGCTACACAGAACGTTCCTGTGCTGCAACTGTATGGACCACGGTGAGCCAATCACAACAAGCAAAGGTTCAAAGGTTATAATAGACCGCCTCTCTGACTCTGGCCAATCTGAGCAGGCTTTTTACTAGAACACAGTGTAGCTTCGGGTACAGAACATGTATAATTTGCATGCATAAATGTCTGCTTGGATTGGCTGAGTTAGAGAGGCGGTCCGAACAACCTTGCAGTGATTGGTGCGGGATCGAGTTGGAAAATTCGTTTAGCAGCATATCGAGACATTTTTTGGGATATACTCGGCATATAAGACGACCCCCGATTTTCGGTTGACTTTTTTTCGTTTCAAAAGTCGTGTTATACACCGGAAAATACGGTAATAAAGAAAATTATAAACTGCTGAACAAAATGATAGATACAAAGACAGTAAAGTATCAAACAGATTGTCAAATTGCAGCAGGAAGGTTAGGGAGAGGTGGGCAGATAAGAGATCAACCAAAAGACTTGTGCACATGCATAGAAGCATAACCAATGGACGCAAAACTCTGTGGGGTGAGGGCATGTATGGGAGTGGGGTGGGGGGGCAATGGTAAGATATATACACATATAATACCTTAAGAAAAAAAACAAGAAAAGCATTTAGTACTATGTCTGGTACACAGTAGCCATTCCTGTATCATCCGTGTTTTATAGATGAAAGAGCTGAGGTTCAGGGGCTGCCCAAGTTCATAACCCTCGGAAGTGACAAGCTGGAGCCCGAACCCGGGAAGTGCAGCTTCAGCGCCTGGACTGCCTGCTTTCACCCGGTGGCTGAGGCCTGTGTTCCACGCAGAGCCGCTTCCAGAGCTCGCCTTGACGAGGTCTCCAGGTCTCTGCACAGGGGTTCCCTGCTTCCGTCCGCTGTGGGAACACCTCACTTCCTCCTCCTCCAGGAAGCCTTCCTTTCCACGTGCCCACTCCCCAGGACCACCTCAGGCAAGGCAGATACCACCCTCTGTGTCCCCCTCAGCCTTCTCCACAGACCTCTCTCTCACCAAACTCACTCAGAGAGCACATACCCTCAGGGTGGCAAGTGTCCTTGTCACCTCAGGCTGGGCCATGCCTGGCCTGGAATGGAGCAGGCCTCTGCCAATGTTTGTTGCATTTGTTGCTAATCGAACCCATCAGAGAGAGCCGGGCCAAGGGCGGTGGAGAGCAGGGGCGCCTCCTGCCCTCAGCTGTCCTGAGCTCCCCGGGCCAGCTCACACTTCTTTCTTTGGCCAGAGCTTCCTCCCCAGGGGCCAGCACTGCCAGTGCCCTGGCCCTGGCTCTCACTTCACTCTCCAGCCTCCTCCAGAGTTGACCAGTAGGGAGTTTACCTCCAAGGGGGCCTGTACCACCCAGCAGGTTGAGTTTGGAAGATTCCTCTCCTCCCCAGTTCATTTACTCAACAAATGTTTAGAGAACATCGACTGAGCCAGGAGCAGAGCTTGGTGCTGGATGCAGGGTAGAGCACGCACTAGGCGTGGTCCCACCCCCCGGAGCTATCATGCCAACAAGAACACATGTAAGGGGTGTGCACGGCACGTTCCTCAAAAAGGGAAAGCACAGGGGACTGTGAGACAGGCCAGCTATTCAAGCATAATGGTTAGGGAAGGCCTCTCTGGAGGCGACTTTTAAGCCAGAGCTCAGCCAAGCGAAGGGTGGGGGAAGAGCATCCTGGGAAAGGGAACGGCATATGCAAAGTTCGGGAGGTGGGAGCGTGGTTGGGATGTTGAGGAAATGAAGGTGGGCAGGGTAGCAGAGACACAGGGAACACGACTGGGATTGGCAAGAAATGAGGCTGGAAGTGAAGTTGAGACCAGAAGAGGAAAAGCTTGGATTTTATCTTTGGATTGAGAGTGTAATGGAGTAAGGGTTTTAAATCAGAATCAATCCTATCTAATAAAAGCCTAGTATCCTAAGTGTCCAGGCGTCCTGTCGGCCATTCAACCAATCAAAACGTAATATGCTAAGGCTGCTCAACTGCTTGCTGTGGTGTGCATTGACCTGACCAAGGAGCAGACAGTTGACCAGGCGACCTGTCACTATGACATGCACTGACCACCAGGGGCAGACGCTCTAACTGGTAGGTTAGTTTGCTGGTGGGGTCTGGCCAATCGGGACTGAGCAAGATGGGCCAGACACGCCCTGGAGCCCTCCCTCTGTCCTTCCCCAGCTGGCCAACCTCCTGCATCTCTCCCCAGCTCCAATCATGCACCGGTGGGGGCCCTCTGCCTGGCCTGCAACCTCTCACAATGTGGGCTGAGGGACTCCCCTCACCCAAGTGCACACATTTCGTGCACCGGGCCTCTAGTATGATATAATTTGCCTGTCTTAAAGCTCTCTGGTCTCTGCTAAGAAGTGACTGACAAAGCAGAGGGGGTGAGGACCTATGTGGGGCAGGATCGGGGCAGGTGATGTGGACAGCTCAGGGGGGTGGCTGTGGGTTCACAGAGTTGTGGAGAGACTCCAGAGATAGTTAAGAAGTAGGATCACTCAGAAGTTTCCAGAATTTCAGAAGAATTAAAAAAAAAAAAAAAAAAACTTTATTGGATGTCTGCAACACCCCCAGCAGTGGGGTGGGAGTTGGGGGCACCAGAAAGGCTTGTGAGTAGGAGCAAAAGATACAAATCCTCACCCACAGAAACAATCACATCCAGTCACCCTCCCCGCTTCTCCCCAATCTCTTGGGGAGAATGAACCCAAGATCAATGATGATGCTCAAAGTTCTGGGCCCTTTCCACCTCCTCCAATGGTGTCAGCAGATTCTTTTGGAGTTGGGCGCTGGAAACACGGGAATGAGATTCCCTCTGCCGCACTGTGAGGAAGTAAATGCCGGGGCTAGTTAGTCTCCAAACCACCACCTGGGAAGCCACAGAGGGAGGAGGGGGAGGAAGTGGGGAGGGAGGAAGATGGAGGGGAGGAGGAAGAAGAGGAGTTCTTCCTGCTTTTTGTGAGAAAGTGGAGTTGGTCTTACCCTCTGCCATCCCCCTCTTCCTCTGTCCCAATCCCAGGGGCCTGCCGATGGCCCTGCCCTCTGTGGCCCCCCGACACTACAGGCAGCGCCCCCTCCTCCAAAGGACCTGTGCTCAAGGCCGCACATCTAGGCGGGCGCTGGACATCAATCTGATGAAAGAATTACTTGAGCGCTTTCGGCCTCCTTGAGGAATCTGTCTTCAAAAGAGCTTTCTGGGTCATTTAAATGACCACTGCTCTCCGACCCACTTCCCTGAAAAGGCCCCTTTTCCCTCCGGTTTTTGCAAAGTCTACTTTTGAGCCCAGAGAGTTTTTTTCATTTAGCCTCTGGGGAGGGCAGTTCCATCAAAGGCTGGGTGCGAGAATCTCCCCGGCGGTGGCATTGGACGTGTCTAATAACCAGTGCACTACAAGCACCAGTATTGCCCTGGAGGACTCCATGACCCTGGGTCTGCTGGGCATCAATCAGCACAAGGGTCCTGGGGGCAAAGCCATGTGGTGGGGGACACCCTGAGCCACTCAGGGGAGGCGGGGCATTGCCATGAAGCACATGTGTTTCTACATCTTAGCAACAGGTCTGGCAACACTGGTCCCGTTGAATGTCAGTCCTGGGTCTACCCCAGCCTTGTCCAGCCTCTGCCCTCCCTCGGGGAATGGTGACTGGGCCGTTTGTTCCCTCTGAGAGACGTGGGGCCTGGGCTGGAGCTGGGTAAGGAGCCTGTGAACAGAGCCAGCTGTGTGGAATCCTGGGTGAACAGGCTCTCAGGCCCTCAACCCCCTGCGTGACCTTGCAGGGCCAGGCCGCCTCTGCCTGCCCTTCCTCTGAGCCTCCTCGCAGTTATTTCTGTCCAGTCTACAGCCTTGGCTGTCCCAGCAGTCTGGGCTCCGTGAGCCGGATGCAAACCAGGCAGCACGAACGTCTGGTTCTGAATCCCAAGAGGGTTGCTCTCTGAGCGCCATCACGTGGGAACATGGCTATCCACACCGTTCGCACAGCAGGGACCTCACGCCTGGAGGATGGTGACAGAGCAGGGCAGAGAGCTGGGTTCTCTGCTCAGTCCTGGCTCCGGTCTGAGCGCGCCGTCCCAGGCCTGGTGGTCAGGGTCGGGGAGCCGCATTGCTGCCAGGAGACCTCCCAGCTGTGTGCAGGGAACTGCTGGTCAGCTGGAGGGACGGTGTCTGCAGCTGGCCCTGCTGGGCTCCCGACCCCCAGGCCTTGGCCACGGTGGCCAGCGGCTCTGTGCTGTGGTCCGCTGTGGCTGGGTGGGCTGCAGAAGACAGGGGGGCGGGGCAGACACTGGGTTCCAGCCCTGGGGCCTGGGAAGGCTGCAGCCAGTCAGTCACTGCTCCTGGTTGGGGTGGTCTGATCTCTCTTGGGAAGCAGCCAGCCTCAGGCCTCTGTGCATTTTAGGTCAAAGCTTTGTTCCCAGAGGGAGATTCATGCCTGCTGCCCCCGTATCCTGGGGCAGGAGAGGGGTCTGGGCGCGGCTGTTACTAGTAGGTCTTCTGGAACGCGTCTGTCCAGGTCAGAAGTGAAAGCAAGCCTCTGCGATGAGAACCGCTGCAGGAGAGCCGGTGGGGAAGCTGGAGGAGCAGTTAGGAGGGGGTAGGGGGGCTCTGATGGGTGAACATGCTGCTGGCACTCATGAGCCAGTCCAGGAGGCAGGGCTGGAAAGGCAGAGCCACTTTCAGCTCCCCATCCTCAGTGCGGGGCGGGGCGGCTTAGAAAGCCCCCACGTCCATGATCTCGGAGGCCCAGGACGGGCAGAGCACGGCCCGGGCCGGCCGCCCAGCAGGCCCAGGGGAAGAGGGCCTGGGGGCGGAGGGCCTGGCGGCCGGAACACTGGCATAGGCAGGGGACCTCCCGGCACCGGGGGCCGTGGGGGAAGAGGATGGCAGGAGGGGCGCCATGTGGCTGCTCCGGGCAGCCCTGCCGCTGGGGGCCATGGGCAGGGGGACGGCTGGCCTCTCCGGAGGGCGGACCCTCCGGGCAGAAGATGCTCCGCGACTGGGCAGCAAGCTCCTCCGGGCTGGCAGGAGGGTGGCAGCGGCCCTGCGCAGGGGAGCGCTGCGGAGAGCCGGGGTGGGGTACGTAAGAGAGGAGGCGCTGGGGAGGACCGGGCCGGGCACTCTCCCTAGGATGGCAAGCTGGCCGTTGGGGGCGGACAGCCCCGGACAGCTATGGAAGAAGGACCAGGGCCAGGCAGGGAAGGCCAGGGGGCTGGCAGGGGTGGGGGAAGGCTCCATCTCGGCCGCGTAGCTGTTGAGGTGGGAGAGCAGGCGGATCCGCACGGGGTCCGCTCGGCTGCTGGGTCCCTCCAGGACCCCCAGGTACCGGATGACCTCGGTGAGGCACTCCCGGAAACCGATGCTCCGGAAGTCAACGGCCAGGGTTCGGGCATCAAAAAATCCTGCAAAGGGAGGTGTGATGAGGGCATGCCCAGTGGGAGCACAACCAGGAGCCTGGGGTCAGACGGCCCGTGTGCTGGGCCTGCCTTCCCCACTCACTGCCTGTGTGACCCTGGGCCCCTCACCTCTCTGAGCCCCCGCTCCCCGCCTGTAGGGTGGGAAACATCCCTACTGGGCAGAGGGGCTGGGTTGTGAGCATCAAATGAGCTCACTAAACTATGAAGCATGATAAAGTGTAAGTATTGTTTTCTCAGCACCCTTTATGGCTAATAAGGCAAAGAAGAAACTTCAATCAAGAAAGTAGAGACTTGCCGAAACCGGTTTGGCTCAGTGGTAGAGCGTCGGTCTGCAGACTGAACAATCCCAGGTTCGACTCCGGTCAGGGGCATGTATGTTGGTTGCGGGCACATCCCCGGTAGGGGTTGTGCAAGAAGCAGCTGGTCGATGTTCCGCTCTCATCGACGTTTCTAGCTCTCTATCTCTCTCCCTTCCTCTCTGTAAAAAGTCAATAAAATATATTTAAAAAGAAAAAGAAAAATAAGTGGAGACTTGCCAGGGGTGAAAGGGTTGTGGATATGGAGGCACGAACGTCTGGTTCTGCTGATGTGGGCAGGTGCTGGGAGACTCCGTGGAGAAGGCAGTAAGTATAGTGTGGCAGGAAGCCTGAGGCCTTTGGAGGCCACTGCACAAGCTGCCTGGCCATGGACAAGTCTCTTAATCTCTCTATGCCTCAATTTCCTTAGCTGTAAAATGGGCATGTAACAGTACCTGGTGCATTGACTCGTGTGGGTCAAATGAAATGAAATGAAATGGTGCACAGCCCGGCCAGCATGGCTCAGTGATTAAGCATTGACCTCTGAACCAGGAAGTCAGGGTTTGATCAATGATTCTCTCTTATCATTGATGTACCTGTCTCTCTCTCTCTCTCCCTCTCCCTTCCTCTCGGAAATCAATAAAAATAAAAAATAATAAAAAAGAAAAAGGTGCGCAGAAATGCTCAGTATAACATAGACGCTAGCCACCATTTATAGTTCTGCTTGTCAACCAGCCAAAAGGGCCATCTGGAAAGTGACTCCACTTGGCCCTCAGCTGCTGCCCTCAGGCTGCGGACCCTCTCTTGGACTGATTTTCCTAAGGAATGATCAAACGGACTGCCCACTGCCTCCTCATACCTGCCCTTCTCTCCATACCACCTTCTGGACAGCCACAGAACAGCCCCGTGAGCAATGGCCCGGTGACTACAGCAGCAAATATCTGGTCCCTGGCTCACAGCTGAGGCCCCGCAGAGGGACAGCTGGGCAGGAGCCCGTGTTTGCAGTCAGGCCTCCCTGGAAGTGAGTGTGCTGGTTCTGCTGTGCTGACTGTGAGCAATCCCTTCCCCTTCTGTGCTCACTGTTCGTTTTTAATACGTTCTTTAAAATTGATTTTCAGAGGGAGGAGAGGAAAGAGAGAGAGAGAGAGATAAGACACTGATGAGCCGGCACCGGTTTGGCTCAGTGGATAGAGCATCGGCTTGCGGACTGAAAGGTCCCGGGTTCGATTCCGGTCAAGGGCATGTACCTTGGTTGCGGGCACATCCCCAGTAGGGGGTGTGCAAGAAGCAGCTGGTCGATGACTCTCTCTCATCGATGTTTCTAACTCTCTATCCCTCTCTCTTCCTCTCTGTGAAAAATCAATAAAATATATATATATATATTTTTTAAAAAGACACTGATGAGAAAGAAATGGATCAGCTGCCTCCTACACGCTCCTACTAGGGATTGAGCCTGAGACTCAGGCACGTGCCCAGACCAGGAATTGAACTGGTGACCTCCTGGTGCACGGGTTGACTCTCAATCACTGAGCCTCACTGGCCACACTTCACTGTTCTTTTTACTAGCGTTTGTTGAGTCCTTATTAGCGCTTAATTTGCATTATTTAAGTTAATTTCCTAAAAACCCTTTTTTAAACAATTGATTTTAAATAGGGGAAGAGAAAGAGAGAAGAAGGACATAAAAACCCTTTTGTTATTCTCACTTTAGAGATGAGGAAACTGAGGAATAGAGAAGTCAAGTCATTTGTCCGAGGACACAGAGCTAGTAACAGTAGAACCAGGATTCAAATCCAAAGCCAACGCTCCCAACCACAGCTCTCTGTCTTCCCATGAGGCTTAGCCAGAAGAGGGGGGTGACAGCAGCCCCACCCAGGAGGTTTTTGTGAGAACCCAGTGAGATAACATTAGGGAAAGCATCTGAAACGATAAATGCTGCCCCGGGATTAGTCACTCTTTCTCTTCAGTTGCAGAACCACACATGCAGTTTGAACTCTCTCCCCACTGGCTGACGAGGGACCCGTCTCCACTGTTGGCCGTGCATTCCTTTGGCGGGAGTTCTCCGAGTGACCACCTGCATCAGGGTCATCGGGCGTGCTTCCTAATCTTGCAAATTCCTACACGCCAGTCCAGACCTACTGCCTCAGAACCTCCGGGGTGTGGCCACGGCTCTGCCTGCCCCCAGATGACCCTGCCACACACGGAGAGGGCTGGCTGGGCCGCTGAACAAGCCACTGTCCTCTCCACCGGGAGGAAGCTGAGGTTTTAGGACGTAGGCCTTTGTGGTCAGGTCTGTGGAGCTTTCCAAGGCTTCCCAATTGTGAAGTCACCAAATACACAGAGCGGCTCCAGGTAAACACAATTTGTGTTCGTCCAGAAGTCTTTTTAAAACTACCGTTCCATGGCTGTGTTGTAATAGACTCATTCAAAATAACAGACGGGGTTGCATTTGTATTCTGCTATTATACAATCCTGAGACGGATCTTCAGCTGTGAGCATGACGCATGACCAAGCACTGCCAAGGTCAGAACAACCCAGAAAGCTAGGCCAGTGGGAGGCACACGGGTGAACCATCAGTGGCCAGGGAGAAGGAGGTCCTTCAGGCTAATGCTTAACGAGGCCCTGGGGGTGGGCCAGCAGGAACAGCCTGATGGAGGAGGAGTAGCGATGAGGAGAGCGTTGGGACAAAGGGAGACACTGAGAGTGGAGAGGGAAGTGTCCAAAGAAGGAGAGAGACAAGCTTTGTGAATGTTCTACCTGGATCTGCATCAGCTTCCTTGGACTGTGAGCTCCATGAGGGTGGGGCTCATTAGTACCCCCAGGGCCCAACCCCTGAATGCTGGCCGCGTAAGTGACGCCCAGAAGAGCAGAGCACCCGTACCTGTCCCGCCGGTCGCGTGGAGCATTTTCAAGTGGTCTACTGTCATCTGCAGGACCTCAGCCTTCTCCAGCTTGGAGGAGCCCTGTGTGCACAGAGACAGGGGAGTGTTTCCCTTCCTCTTTCCCGTCCTCTAAGAATCAATTTTTAAAAACATCCAGTGCTCAAAAAACAAACAAAAAGCACCCAGCGCTCAGGTCCCCCGCACAGAGTCATTAGCTCCCACGGTGTCGGTGTTCCCATCTTCCGCCCCCGCCAGCACTGCCTGCCACTGGGCCTCTGCCCCGCCCAGGTCTTCGAATCCAATCAGTTCTATTTAGGCTTCCTGTTAGCGCACTTGCTCACTGCACCGCTGGCCAGGCTTTCGGAACCTCTGCTCCCTTGACGTCTACGGCACCACTTTTTCTGGTTCTCCTTTCACCGGGCCTCTTGCTCTGTTCCTGTTCCTTAAAACCGTGGTGTCCCCGGTGCGGGTTGGCTCGCTGTTGGCACGCTGCACACTCTCCGCAGAGGATCTTGTCTCTTTGCCTGGCTCCAGACATCAGCACCAGAATGTTGCTCCTGAACCCCATACTCCCCGCCTTCCTACTCACCACTCCCAAGGGCTAGCTTATCGTCTTACCCCCAAGAGCACTCCTCCCCTGTTCTCTCTTGGGAAATGTTTTATAAGCCTCCAGCATCACCCGGTCTCTCTCCCGGGCGAAACCTGAGGATCAGACTCTGCGTAGGAGTGCCTGAGGGCAGGCAGCAGGTCTCCTTCATCCCTGGGCCTGTGAAGATTTCAGTGAGCACCAGGGGGAGGACTGGCCGGCTCTCACCAGCAGAAGAGAAAACACGTGACCCATGACGGCCTCGGGAGCACAGGTCTTTGAGGCTGCCTGACTCCCCACTGCCCTCCTTTCACCCCGACACGGTCACTGCCAGAGTGCTCCCTCCCTGAGCAGCCGGTTTTCAGCCGGTTTCGCTTTCCGGCAGCTTCGGAAACGTCAGCAGGGCAGAGGGTTAGGGTGCTTTAGAGTCACGGAGTTCTATGTTCCAGTTCTGCTCTGCTATTTGCTGGCTGTGTGACCCGGTGTGGGTTACTGCCCCTCTCTGTGCTTCAGTTTCCTTACCTGTGCCATGGGCATAATACTCCCTACTCTTCAGGATCATCCTGAGGACTCAGTCCAATGGGACGTTGGATATAAAGCCATAACACCGGAGATACCTCTGCAAGTATTTATGTCCCTTCCCCTTATCCCTGGCCAGTGACGGACGTCAGCAAATGGCATCACAGAACGGCAGGCAGCTGTTCACAGTAAGAGATGCCACGATACAGGACCCTTCTCCGCCTCCCACACCGACCTCCTCCAGCGCCATCAGCCGCGTCACGTACCTGCTTCTCGAAGGCGGTGGGGACCAGGCGCCGCAGCTCGGAGAGACTGCTGTTGATGCGGTCTCTTCGCCGCTTCTCTATGATCTAAGAGATGATGACAGGAGCTTACACGTAGGCACCTCACAGTCAGTTCTACATGCCTCGATGGATGGTCACTCATATTTCCCTTCCCAAAACTTTTGTGAGGGAGATACGTCTATTCTTACTTTATGGAGGGGGAAACTGAGGCTCAGAGAGGGGCAGTGGCTTGTTTAAGGTCACAGCAAGGAATGCAAAGTTGGGAGAACTCAGCTCTCTTGTCTTGACCTGAAGGGGGATATGCTAAACAGTTAGCTACTGGCACAGCACCAGCCAATCAGAACGAGGATACCAGCCCCCTGGAGCGGGCCCTGGAGACCCCTGCTGGGCCAGGAGGTCTGAGGAATCAGCACTGCCTTTCCTCTCTAGCTGTGAAGGCTTTCACCAACACTATCTCAGTCTCTTCTCACAGTGGTGGTAGCAGAGTACTGACAGCAGGGCAGAACGTATGACCCCATTTTACAAATAAAGAAAACGAGAGCTGGCCCTAGCTGGTTTGGCTCAGTGGAAAGAGTGTCGGCCCGAGGACTGAAGGGTCCCAGTTCAATTCCGGTCAAGCGCACATACCTGGGTTGTGGGCTCCATCCCTGGCCCTGGTCAGGGCATGTGCGGGAGGCAACCAATTGATATGTCTCTCTCACATATATGTTCCTCTCGCTGTCTACCCCCCTCCCTTCCACTCTTTTTGGAAATCAATGGGAAAATATCTTCAGATGAGGATTAACAACAACAACAAAAGCAAATGAGGGCTGGATGGAAGCAGTCTGTGTAAGGCTGTCTGGTCAGTGAGTGGCAGGGCTGGTGCTAGTGCAGACACACAGCTGAATGTTTTTTAAATATATATATATATATATATATATATATATATATATATATAAAATTGACTTTTTACAGAGAGGAAGGGAGAGTGATAGAGAGCTAGAAACATCAATGAGAGAGAAACATTGACCAGCTGCCTCCTGCACACCCCCTATTGGGGATGTGCCTGCAACCCAGGTACATGCCCTTGACTGGAATCGAACCTGGGACCCTTCAGTCTGCAGGCCAACGCTCTATCCACTGAGCCAAACAGGTTTCAGCTCACACAGCTGCATCTTAGGGGGAAAGTGGGGTTGGGATAAGATGGCCAACAGCAAGCAGGGGCATCGCCTTCTTTTGTCCCCCTCACTCATCCCTCCGCACCCAGAGAAAAAATGGAAGTTCTGAGTTCAGAGAGAAGAGTAAGGCTGGGACAGATATTGGCTATTTGTGTTCACATATTGCTTGAGTGTGTTACCTCAATTCCCTTAATCTTCAAAACAATACTTTGAGCCCTAGCCAGTTTGTCTCAGGGGATAAAGCACTGGTCCTCGGACTGAAGGGTCCTGGGTTCGATTCCAGTCAAGGGCATATATCTTGGTTGCAGGCTTGATTCCAGGCCCTGGTCAGGGCATGTGAGGGAGGCAAGCAAACGATGTCTCTCACATCCATGTTTCTCTCTCTCCGTCTCTTCCCCCTCCCTTCCGTTTTCTCTAAAATTCAATGGAAAAATATCCTTGGGTGAGGATTAACAACAACAAAAAACAAAAAGAAAAAAAACAAACACTTTGGGGTAGGCACTATTCTGTCAGTCACACAGTTGATGAAATGAGGCACACAGGTTCAGTATCTTGCCCAGGGTCACCCCGCTAACTACTTGCAGAGCCAGGATTTGAACCCAGGCCGGCTGGCTTGCGGTGGTGTTTCTGACCAGGTTTCTGGAGGCTAGGCCCCTGGGGACCCGGGGGAAACCTCTGCCGGGCAGCTCTGCCGAGAGACACCCACCCCGCGGCGTTTCTTCCGGGCTTGCATCTGCGAAGGGCTGGGGGTGGACGGCGGCCTGGCCATCTGGCTGCAGAGGGGGAGAAAGGCAAACTTGTCAGAGCGGGAGGACCGTCTCCCTGGCCTGGGGTGACCTCGGGGCGAGCACAGCCCCTGCTGGGCGCCTGTGGTCCCCAGGCTGGGAGGAGGCACAGGCAGGCGTGGGCGGGGAGCATTCTCTCCCTTCTCCCCCGGGCCGTGCTCCCAGGGTCAAGTCCTTCCCTGCACCGGCTGAGCTGCCCGGGCGGCGGGGGCGGCGGGGGGAATTTGGGGGGGGGGGGGGTCTGGTGGGGGCGGGGGCGGCGGAAGGGAAGGGAAGGGAGGTGTGGGCTCGGTTCTCGCCTCCTCCCCGGCCCCAAGCTCCTCTCCCGCTGCCGGAGGGCGGGCATCGGAGCCGCGGGCAGCCACTCCGGCTTCTGCAACCCGATCCCGGGCGGGGCGGGCGAGGGCCAGGGCCGGCGGCGGCCGCGGCTTGGGTTTCAGAGGGAGCCGCTGGGAACGAGCGTGGAAAGCGCAGATGCCGCCGCTTCCCACGGGCCGGCGCCGGCTGCCCGCCCTCCGCCCCGGCTGCAGCTGCCGCCGCCTCCCACGCGGCGCGGCGGGGGCGCGGGGAGCGGCATCTGGGTCACAGGCCGCTCCGGGCTCTGGGGACGCTGCTCGGCCTCCCCCGAAGCCCCCTCCCCACCCGACCCGCATCACTGCGACCCCCCTGTCCCTCTCCCCCCGCCCCTCCGAAGGCGCAGCCAAAGGGGGGATGTTTGCTCGCATCCCAGGAGTTTCTTTCCATCACGGGGAAGAGGCTTAGCCATCGGCCTTTCCTGCCCGAAATCCTCCCCAGCCCAGCTGCTCGCCCTCCTAACGGTTCCTGCTTCAGAGGCCTCCTGAAATGGAGGGCATTCGCTAAGCTGCACCCACCGAGGCCATTCATGGGGCCAACACCCAGAGGTGCGGCTCAGGCCCCGCCCTCCGGACCCTGAGCTTTCATGGCGAGACACCAGGCCAACAAGTAACCTCAGCCAGGTGACTCCTGCCATCTCAGATGCAAAATGCCGCCCATCTGCACAGGAACCACGAGCTTGCCTCCACCTCACACGGGTCCCCTCCCTGGGTCGCCACCTCAGGGAAGCCACCCTGTCTTCCGGTTCTGCAAGGGGGATCCCTGGCCACGGTGTTTGATTGATTCCCTCTGGGTCCTCATCTGGCTCCTCAAAACCTAACACACATCTCACTTCTGCCCTCCTCGTCCCCCCTGCAGCTCTCAGGACCCAGCCCTATCACCTTTCATCGAACAACCGTAAGAGTCTACCGTCTGCCCCTTTCCACCCAACCTGCTACCCTCTGCATGCAACAGAGCGATCATTTAAACGAAAATCTGACCTTGTCACTCTCTTAAAACGCCTCAGGGGTTCCCCAAAGCTTTTAGGACCAAGACCACCATCTCTCAGATGGCCCTGCGGGCCCCTGTTACCTCCTGGACGCACCTCTCAGGCTCTCTGTGTCCCAGCTCTCTGTGAACGCCCCGACTCCTTCCTGTGGTTACACGGGCCGGTCCCCTCGCCTAGCATTCCCTGCCCACGAGTCTCCTTGCCCCCAAGCTCCAGGCCTGTTGCCGGATAATATATACTACCCTCAGGCCACCTTCCTGGGGAAGCCTTTTCTTTTTCTTTCCTTCTTTTGTTTTTAAATCCTCACCCAAGTGAGGATATTTTTCCCATTAATTTTAAAAGAGAATTGGAGGGAGGAGAAGGGGGGAGAGAAAGAGAAGGAAGAGACAGAGAGAAGGAAGAGAGAGAAAGAAGAAAAGAGAAAAGGAGAAACAAACATCACATGAGAGAAACACATGGGTTGATTGCCTCCCACTCTCACCCTGACCAGACCAGGGATTAAACCTGCTACCAAGGCACATGTACTTGACTGGGAATTGAACCTTAGACCCTTCGGTCTAAGGGCCGATGCTCTAACCACTGAGCTACCGGCCAGGGCATGAGATCTCCCTCCTACTAAGTATTTATCCCCTACTCTACAGTCCCCGGTCTCCCACATTCACAGCAGTTAGGACCCTTTGTTGTTTCACATGCTTGTTTGGTCAATGTCTGTCCCTCTAACAAATCTGAAAGCTCTGTGAGGTCATGACCCATGTCTGCCTCATTCACTATTGTAGCCCCAAGTGCTTGGGACATGGCAGAGCTCATGGCTGAGCCCCCTCCTGCCCTCATCTAGAACATCACTGTGGTAGGCCTTTGCGGAATGGGGGCATCTGAGGCTCACCCGGAAGGTCCCAGTCCCCAGGACTGCCCCTTTGATGTCAGAGGCTGGTGATTTTCATCTTCTGCTCAGAGAGAGAAGGTTTGCAGGAGAGGCCAGACCAACATGTGTCAGGTCCTGCTGCTACGCTCTGGCAGTTACATCTGGAAAAGGCTCTCGCCACCCGAACATCTGGACAAGAAGGTCTGGTCAGAGACCAGGGAAAGCTCCTGGGAGGGATGGCCCAGCAAGCCAGGTTCCGGGAACAGATGGCCGGACCCTGAGCTCTGCAGGCAGCTTGTTTACGAGCTTCACCGGGGACAAGCCCCAGGAGCCAGGCATCCGAGAAACACAGCCTTTGTCCCCCCCGGCTGGATAAGGCATCGCCAGGGGTATTGGGTTAGCTTTACCCACGTCACTGCCGCTGAGCCTGATCCCTCCTGAGGGACCGTCGGCTGGAGGCTGACGCACCCCTTCAGGACAGGTGGCTCTGCCATCCCTTTTTCCGGTCCCCTGGTCCCTTGTTCTCTGCAGTCTTATCCCACTCCCACAGCTAACAGTTCCCCTGGCATCACTGAGTACGTTTTCCTCCCGCGAGCCTAACAAAAGCCCCATTTTACAGAGGAGCATGCTGAGGCTCAGCAGCCGAGGCAGTGTGCCCAGCCTTCGCAGCTGCTAAGGAGCAGAGCCAGCCTGGGAAGCCATGTCTGCTGGCTCCAGACTCGGCATTGTTTTCCCTCTTAATTCCCATTTCCTGTCTGTCTGAAAAGCCCTCCAGTCCCCTTATCCTTCGCGTTCCCAAGAGCTCACAGCGTGTGCTCATTTCCAGGCTGTGCTCTGGCCCTGACACGGACAGGGAGGAGGTGTGAGAGCTTCTTGGCGAAGAGCCTGAAAATACGGCAGATTTCCACGGGCCCGGAGAAGACAAGCTGGCCACCAAGATCTGCTCCATGGCCCTCGCGTGGTCCTCGCCAGAATCCTGGGGCGGGGACCGTGTTCTGGGGTGGTCTGGCTGCCAGTCCTGGCCACCCTCAGTGCTCACCCTCAGGGTCCCTTGGGAATGCCTCTGTGGAGCCCTTGCAGATAATCTCACTCACTGTGCATCAGCCAAAGGCCGAATGACAATGCCCTCCATGAAGGGACTTCAGACACCACTGAGCCTACTGGTCAAATGGGGAAACTCAGGGAGGGGAGGGAATCTGCTCCAAGCCACACAGCAAATTAGAAGAAATTCCAAGTTTCCTGGCTTTGAATCCAGTGCTCTTACCAATGCACCCCATATAGTCATCGTCACAACTTGCAAAATTCGTAGCCAGGACTTTTTGTTCCTCAGCATGTCCACAATTACTTGTCTTACGTATTGCACAATAGCCCTGAGGGTTATGTGTTACTGAGGCCATTTCATTTCATATTTAGGAAGAACAATCATTGGATAGATAGATGGAGTGACAGAGACACGGAGAGTTAAGAATCACGGCCAGTAAGTCCAGTCTGCAGACTTCCCGTCTCTTCATTAGACTCCGGCCTCGTGAACTTGGACCCTCCAACCCCTTAGGGAGCGCCATCGACTGGAAGTTACCTTGGGCCAAAGCAGGGAGACGTGCGTTGGGTTCATTGCTTTATCCAAGCCTCACCCTGTGAGGTAGATGCTAGCCCCCCCATTATGTCAGGGCGAAAACGGAGGCTCAGAGATGCCCGAGTGGTAGTGGGAATCAAACTCAGGTCCATCTGACTTCAAAGCCTACCACGAACCTTCAAACATGAAGGAACAGCCCACAGCCCCCGACCCAGGCCTGACCCGGGGCAGGTGCTCACCAAGTGTTTGCAGAAGGGGAAGGGAGAGGCCGTATGTGGTCCCAGCATGTGTCGGGGGGCTGGGTTCGGAGAGGAGCCCTGTGGGTGATTCCCACGGACGAGACAGGATGCCACCGCCAGGCAGATGCCCACAGGGACAGGGAACACACTCTGCTCTTTGCTCTCACAGCTCTGAGTGTGGGGGATTGCGCCCTGCCTCTGACCCCTGGGGAGGCTGGCTGCCCCCGCTCCCTAGCCCTCGCCACTGTTTATCTGGCTGTCTTTGTACCCGAAGCTCTTCTTCTCTGAGAGTTCCCTGCGGGCAGCGGCTGGGCAGGATACATCTGGGCCCCCCACGCCCAGCCCGGGGTCTGGGCCACAGCAGGCACCGTTCAGTGATCCCTGAATCGAAGCATTGATGTCTGCTGGGGGGAGGGCCCCTTGGTGAGTGCTACAAAGAGGGGTCTATAAGTCAGCTCTGCCAGATGTCCAACTGCTTTCTCTCCTCCGATGGGTCTGCTCCTCTAAGAACTGAGACAGTCTCTCAAGATGGGCTCTGGCTGAAAGGACAAAACACTGCCCACTGATTCTGTAGGCAGCCCAATGCCACCACCTCCAGGAAGCCCTCCCTGCTGACTCTGGTTGTAAGAGACCTCTAGCTGTGTGGGTGCCTTCCCAGCCCACAGTCTGTCCCTCTGTCCATCTTCCATGCTGTCCATGGTCTTTGTGTGACCTGGAAGGTCACTGGCCAAGCTGCAAGTTCTTAAAAGACAGAAGCCAGCGCTGATCACCCTAACTCTCTGATTCATGAAGACCCATGAATTTGGACCCCTGCCTCCCCACCCCGCCTCCATCACCACCACATGGTGTTAGGCTCTTCCCCTGCACCTAGCAGGCACAGTCTCAGAGAATTACTTATCTAAAGAGTGGGTTTTGCCTGGCTGGTATGGCCCAATGGTTGAACATCGATGGTCACAGTTCAGTTCCCGGTTAGGGCACATGCCTAGGTTTCTGGCTCAGTTTCCAGTAGGGGATGTGCAGGAGGCAGCCAATCAATGATTCTTATCATTGATGTTTTTATCTCTCTCTCTCTTTCTCTCTGAAACCAATAATATATATAGCGGGTTTCTTATTATTTTGTTTTGTTTTCTAAACAACTTAAAAAAGGCTGTTAAGCCGGGACCGGTTTGGCTTAATGGATAGAGCATCTGCTTGGGGACTGAAGGGTCCCGGGTTCGATTCCGGTCAAGGGCATGTACCTTGGTTGCGGGCATGTCCCCAGTAGGGGGTGTGCAAGAGGCAGCTGATCGATGACTCTCTCTCATCGATGTTTCTAGCTCTCTATCTCTCTCCCTTCCTCTCTGTATGAAATCAATAAAATATTTGGGAAAAAAAAAAAAAAGGCTGTTAAGTTGCATGGAAAATCATGTTATATATCCCAGAACCCAATGTACAGAATGCAAGGGCAATATCTATTGCCTTACCTCCAATTATAAGCTATAAATAATTAAAAGCTGGTGGCATTTTTTTTTTTTTAAGCTGGTGACATCTTACTAGGATTTGTGATTGAGGCAGGACCCCCTAGTCTTAGAAACTGGAGATCACTGAATCTATGAAATTCCCTCAAAAACATCCCTAAGAATAACATGATACCCCCTCCCATTACAACTCTATTCTGGAAAGACAGACCTGGGTGAGCCCAGGGAGAGAAGAGAGCTCCTTCTGTCCCTATTTCACTGCTGAGGCCAGGGGCACACAGAGGGAAAGCAATGGCCCAAGGTCACATGTGAGTTAGTGGCAGATTTGGGGCTGGGACCCAGGGCTGCAGACGCCTAGTCAGCCCCTGTTGCTCTTTCAGGTTCTGGGTGCCATGCATGGGTTCCTGACGAGAATTAAGTGTTTGCTTGGAGCTAAGCCGTGTGCTAAGCTCTTGGCATTTACTATCTCATTTGATTTTCCCAATATTCCCATGAAAATGGGTCTATTATTTATACCCATTTTATTTTTAATCCTCACCTGAGGACACACTTAGAGGGAGGATGGGAGGAGAGAGAAAGAAGAGAGGAGATGAGAGGAGAGGAGAGGAGAGGAGAGGAGAGGAGAGGAGAGGAGAGGAGAGGAGAGGAGAGGAGAGGAGAGGAGAGGAGAGGAGAGGAGAGGAGAGGAGAGGAGAGAAGAGAAGAGAAGGGACGGGAAGGGAAGAGAAGAGAAAACATCAATCAGTTGCCTTCCCTACATGCTCCTACTGGGGGGTCAGACTTGTAACCCAGGTATTTTCCCTGAAGGGGAATGGAACCAGCAACCTTTTAGTGCACAGGATGACCCTCAACCACCACACCACTCCACCCGGGCTATATCCACTTTACAGATGAGGAAACCGAAGCTTGGGTTGTTCACAGAACTGCGAATTAGCAGAGCTATCCGACTGTCCGACTATATGCATGTGCAGTTCGTTTCACAGGTTTGAAGCAGATCGGAATAGTTACCCAGAGCAGACAGACCTTGGCAGGAGGTGGTGCGACAGAAAGGGCCCTGGGATTGGAGCCTAGGCCCGTGCCCTGACCATGGGCCAGCCAGCTACGGTTTTCCTCAATCAAAACCGTATTCAAAGTCCAATCTGCTCAAAGGACAGATGTCCTTCTTCTCCTAGACGTACTCTATGAAAAGTGCACCCAAATTAGGGTAACATTGGGGCAGGGTGGCTGTTCTGCAGAGTGGGCTCTGGACAGGGGGTGTGCCAACAGCCCCTGAGGGTTTTTCCTAAGAGCCTCCTCCCAACGGCCTCACCTGGGCACCTGGACAGAAAGTGACCACTCATTGGACGGATCTCAGACCCGCGAGCAAAGCACTGTCTGCATCCGAGCATCCCAAACCCTCAATGGCCGAGGGCGCACAGGACCCCAGCCCGGTGCATGTGAGGACACACTGCACCCCCTCCCCTCTGCACCCCCCAATGCACCCCCCCAACCCCCCTGCACACACCTGCGGGCCCCCGCCCACGCCCGCGCTCGGGAGATGGCGCCGCACGGAGGACCCTCCCCGCCTCCAGCCCCGTCCCGCCCTTACCCAAGCTCTCCCTCGCGGCCCACGTCGATGGGGCCGTCGGACTCGCCGTCGGAGCCGCTGGGCTGCCGGGGCCGCTTCATGGTGAGTGCCGGCTGCCGGGCCTCCGCCGGGCGCTCCGGGCTCCGGCCGGGAAGCCGGCCCCGCCCCGCCCGGGCCCGCCCCGCCCCGCGGCCGCCGCCTTTCCCAGGCCCCTCGCCCCCGCGGAGACGCGCCGGCCGGGCCGTGGGAAGGCCCCGGGCGTCCCCGCCCCCACGGCGGCTGGGAGGTCCGGCCCCGCTCCGCCGCCCGCTGGGCCGCCGCGCACTGGGTGGCCTTTGGCAGGTGCCCCGGGCGGCCTCCGGGGAGCCGGGTCCGGCTGTCCCCCGGCTGCCCCGGGCCAGTGCCCCCGCGAAGGCAAAGGTGGACCCACCGGCTCCAGCCCTGGGGTGTGGGTGCGGCCACACGTCCAGTTTGGTGAGGGTTGGTGGGTGGCTGTGGCCTGATCCTGACCAGGATCCCCCGGCAAGCTTCCCCCCTGGGGGTCCAGAGCAAGGGGAGTGTGTGTGTGTGTGTGTGTGTGTGTGTGTGTGTGTGTGTGCGCGCGCCTGGCCAGGGGGCTGTGTCTGTGGACCTGTGTGGAGGAGGGCCACCATAATCAGGTGTCTCCATGCAGGGCTGCCGTCAAGGGGGAAAGGACAGTCCTTCTCAGATGGCAAAACCCCATCCTCCAAACGCAGGGGTGGCTTCCTGGGTCCCGGCCGGGAGTCTAAGGCGCGACGCCTCTGCCCTGCCACACGCAGCCTGCCTTCCCGTCTCCCTGCCCGGAAGTGCCCTTTCAGGATGCTCCCATCTGCTTCCTCTAGAGCCCTGGGGGCTCCTCTGGGGCACTGGCCCAGGAGATGGCAGGTGAACCTCTGAGAATCTCCCGTGAGTCCTCCCCCTAGGGCTGGAGCACCCACTGGATGAGCAGTTTGGGGTCTGGGGTAGGCTGGAGCGTGCCTCCCCGCCCCCCTTTAGAGGCCTGCCGCAGCTTCAGAATGAGCCCTCCCTGTGCTCTAGGCCGCCCAGGCCAGATCTGAAGCTGTGACCTGGGAACTGATTCCCAGAGACCCGCCCCCCATCATCAAGTCAGGTCTTGAGGGACATTGGCCAAAGCCAGTCAACATCAGCAGCTCCATTTGGGGATGACAGCAGACTCTCACAGGTCTGACCACACCCTCACCCCACTCCCAACCCCACCCCCTCTACCCACTAATAACACCCTCTGGTAGTACCTGCCTCCATTTGTGCAATTAAAAATGTCTCTATCCCTGATCCGTGTGGCTAAGTGGTTGGAGCATTGCCTGTGCACTGAAGGCTCTCGGGTTCCATCCCGGGTCAAGGACATGTACCTTGGTTGCGGGTTTGCTCCCCACCCCAAATTGGGGTTCTGATGGGAGGCAACCAATCAATGTGTCTCTCACATGGATGTTTCTCTCCCCGCCCCCCTCCCTTCCTTTCATTCTCTCTCTGAAAAGCAATGGGGAAAAATACCCTCGGGTGAGGATTAACAAAAATGAAATTTTTAAAAAAAAATGTCTCTAGATCACACCAAACGTTCCCTGGGGGAGAAACGGCCTCTGTTGAGAATCACTAGTCCAGAGAAACAGGGAGATTTGGACACTGAGCAGAAGAGAGAGCTGGGAGAGGAGACGGGGAAGGAGCAGCCAGGGAGGTGGAGGGGAGGAGAGGGGGCGGGTGTTACCGGAGCCAGAAGAGTACTTGGTCATTATCCTTTAAAGCGCCCGTCAGATCATGTCACTTCTTGCTTAAAACCATCTACAGGCTGCCTCATACAGAGCCCAGAATGTCCACTGCTTCCCATGGCCTGTGTGTGTGTGTGTGGGGGGGGGGGGTGGCTATACAGCTTATCATCGAAACCTGGGACGGCTTTGAAAGCAAAAGGAGGGGATACTAATGACTGTGCTGGGGCAGTTCAGAGTGCACCGCCGTCTGGCCCTGCCCCTGCCTGCTCACTCAGCCACGAGAGCCTTCCTGCCTTTCCAGTGGTTGGTGCGTTTGCTGTTCCTTCTGCTCGCTGCTTCAGCAGGACGTTCACTAACACCGGATCCTCTCCCCCAGATCTTCTCGGATTGTCTCACGCCATGCCAGTCTTTGCTCAAATAGTACATCCTCAGTGAGATCTCTCTCTCTCTCTCTCTCTCTCTCTCTCTCTCTCTCTCTCTCTGTAGATTTTCATTGATTTCGCAGAGAAAGGGAGAGGGAACGAGAGATAAAAACATCAATGGTGAGAGAGAATCATTGACTGCCTGCCTCCTCCACATCCTCTTCTGGGAATAAAGCCCGAAACCCAAGCATGTGCCCTTGGCTGGAATCGAACCTGGGACCTTTCAGTCCACAGGCTGACGCTCTATCCACTCTAGCTAAGGGCCACTCTTTTGACTCCCTATCTAAAAGAGCCACCAATTCCCCCACTTTGTCCCCCACCTCACTTTATCTCACTTGAGCACCGGCACTATCGCTGATATTCCGCATGTCGATATAGTTGGTTCTTGTCCCTATCCCCTGGTTAGAGTCCTTTCTGTTCCCTGCCGACTCGCCAGCACCCAGCACAGCGCCTGGCAGGTAGCAGGTGTGCAACAGACATGCCGGCAGAATGAACTCATTTGAGGAGCTTGGCTGATGGGTAGGTGCACCATGAGAATAGCTGGAGGGAGAAGTGGAACCCAGGCTGTGTTTGCTTTTGCTCAGTTTCATTTTTAAGATGGGGAAGAGCGGAGCATGGATCAAACACCAGGAAACCGCTCCATGGGGCTCTTGGAAAAGGCTTCCACATGGACTGTGATGTTCTGTGTGTGGGGGCGGTTGGGCAGGAATCACTTTTGTTGCTCATTACTATGCCCCTTAGTGCCTAGCAAAGTGTCTAGCACAGAGTAAGCACTTAAAATGTTTGTGAAATACATAAATCAATAACACAAAAATAAAACTTGATGGCACTTACCATGTACCAGGCACAGTACTATTGGATATACATCTGTTCGTTTTTCTTATTAATACAGCATTTATCTGCCTTCCTCCTGTCAAACCCTGAGCCAGCCGCTCTCCCCAGGCTGCCTGAGGACGTGTGGGAAGGCACCTCCGGGGCGAAGGAGACACGGGGGAAAGCAGGATGGAGGCAGAGGCAGCTCCCACACGGGAAGAGGGTGGAAAGGCCACCAGCAGGCAGCGGAGCCACGGCCTCTGAGAGGGAGGGCCCAGGGGGCGTAGGAGAGCTGTTGCTTCAGAGCAGAGTTCCTGGCATAACCGGTGCAGAGGCTCCCAACCACAGTCCCAGTTCCAGCCCCAGAGCCTGCCCGCCTCCTGTGGCAGCCCCAGCCCCAATGAGCGAGGCTGCGTGTGCCTGGCCCCTGAAAAGGCGCTGGTTTGGAAGCTGCGGCTAGAAATAAGCTCGGTCAGGGGACCGGGGCTGCCAAGCTGCGAGGCTCTCCCTGCCCGGGCCTCTGGTGTTTCAGCACCGCTGCAGGCAGTGGCCGCTGCAGACAGTGACCGCTGCAGACAGTGACCGCTGCAGGCAGTGACCGCTGCAGGCAGTGACTGCTACAGTGACTGCTACAGTGACCGCTGCAGACAGTGACCGCTGCAGGCAGTGACCGCTGCAGGCAGTGACTGCTGCAGACAGTGACTGCTACAGTGACCGCTGCAGACAGTGACCGCTGCAGGCAGTGACCGCTGCAGGCAGTGACCGCTGCAGGCAGTGACCGCGCAGGCAGTGACCGCTGCACACAGTGACCGCTGCAGGCAGTGACTGCTGCAGGAGTGACCGCGCAGGCAGTGACCGCTGCACACAGTGACCGCTGCAGGCAGTGACCGCTGCAGACAGTGACCGCTGCAGGCAGTGACCGCTGCAGGAGTGACTGAGCAGGCAGTGACCGCTGCACACAGTGACCGCTGCACACAGTGACCGCTGCAGGCAGTGATTGCTGCAGACAGTGGCCACTGCACAAAGTGACCGCTGCAGGCAGTGGTCGCTGCAGACAGTGACCACTGCAGGCAGTGACCGCTGCACAAAGTGACCGCTGCAGACAGTGGCCGCTGCAGAGTGGCCGCTGCAGACAGTGGCCGTGACCGGCTCCCTGAGGCACCCTGACCAGGAGGGGTGGAGACACCCAGTGCAGGCACACATTGTCAGGGTGAGGGAGCTGCGCCAGTGCAGAGAAGACAGAGAGCACATTAACTTGTTTAAATCTCACAACAACTTATTATTTATTATTATCTCATTTAATGATCTTAGCCAAAAGGCCGAGAAGCGATATTATCTCATTTAATGAGACATAGGGAAGTTAAACAACGTACCGAGATGGCACAGCCAGTAAGTGGTAGGACAGGGACTCTCACCAGGCAGGCCGGCACCCGGATTCATGCTGGAAGCCACTGCAGCATGCATCCGAGTGGGAGGGACCAGTCAGGAGACTCATGCAAACAGCCAGGCATGTGGGGCTCGCGCAGAGGGGTGAAGAGGGAACAGGTCCCAGTCACGCTGGGGGTCCTGTCTGGGTGACTGAGTGGGCACAGGTGACAGTGTCAGTGGGAGACACGGCAGAGGGTGGCCATGGTGTTTGTGAGACCCAGGGCACGCCCAGGAGGAGAACCTGGAGCGGCCGGGCTGCAGCAGAGATTGGGTGGCTGGGAGCTGAAGCCACCGGAACATGAAAGAGCACAGGGAGCTAGCACAGAGCAGGAAGGAGGAGAACCCGCGGAGAGGCCTGGGAACAGCAGCCAGAGGCACTGGGAAGGAGGCAGGAACCAGGGAAGAACGGAACACCAGGGCCCAGGCCGGAGAAGGACAAGAATAAGGGCTTGGTGTCAGTCCAGGGGCTCTGAGAAGAAGGTATCCAATCAGGAGGTCACAGAAACCTCGGCATGGACAGAGGAGGCAGAAGCAGGGACCTGATCAGGAGTGTCTGAGGGAGATGGAGAAGCAGGATGGAGAAGGGGCAGGTAAATGAGAGGGGGCACCAAGGCAGCTCCAGAGGCCAGCGGGTCTCAGTGGGGAATCGTTTGCCGATGAGAGGGGCGTAGGAGTAGGCAGAGGGGAGCCCCG